TCAATATTCATTATATCGACTATTAATAAAGGTTGAATCTTAATAAAAAACTTAATTTGTCATATTTTGAGTTTGAATATGATATTTACCTGATTCTTTAATATTTCATTACATGGCTTATTGTTGATAAATAATGAAGTAAGAGCACTATATATGGAATTGCTGGGGAAGTAGATTAGATACATTATTTCATGAGGTGTCTATACTTCTAAGTATTTTTTAAAAAGATTGTTCTTGGCATACTGTAGTGAATGAGAACAACAATGGGAACAATCAAATATTAAATTACATTCGACCACGTTTCTGATGCCTGGTAGAAATTGCTTTATGAAACTTCAGAATACTGGAGCTTAACTGTTTACCAATAACCTTGAAAATTTGCAACATAACGACTTCAAATCCTATGTCCAGGAGATGTTCTACCTCTCTTCCTCTCTTCTTGGTAAAGAGAACTATGTGTATGATATGGCTTATTTTTCATTTTTTCTTCATATCTGTTGAGTGAACAGTTATCCAATATTTTTCTGACCCGTAACTTATTTTCATCTCTATATTCCTCTCTAACCTCTCGATTAATGCGCAACCTTTTTTAATGTCTGAAATCTTGGGTCACTTTATGATGAAGTCTTTTCTATCCTTTTATGAAAACATATATTTATCAAATAACCACGAATACGAATATAAAGTTTAAGCACATGATTTTGTCAACAAGAACATCTTTCTCTCTGAATTTGCCTTAGTTTTATTTTCTGATAGTTCTATATTTTCGGTTTGAATCAAGAACTGATCTTAATTTAACAACCATTGAAAACCTGTATTCATTCGAGTGGCGTTTCTTCGTAGTATGAGACTTTTCCTCGACAGTGCACATCCACTATTTCGGGACGGTCCTCATTCACGAGCCTCTTCTAAACAAAAAAAATGAGGACCAGAAGCGATGTCACAAAGTCAGTTACTCACTGTCAACTTCAGCTGAGTTGACGTACAAAAGGCATTAAGTTCTCTAGAACTAGAAAAATCAACAGAACTGGATGAACTATATCTTAAAACCCTGAAACAGTCCATAATATAAATTGCTACTCCGCTCAAAACTTCATTCAGGATTTTACTGACCCCCCAAAAATGTTACCTGTAGACTGGATGGATACTACTATCATTCCAGTTCATGTGACAGGACTATGACAATTCTCATCAAATAACAAACGCTACAGACCTTAATTTTACCTTCATTCTATTTTTGTCGCAACACCTTATTTTCTTGTCAACTGAGAAACATTTTTAACTAAAGGCATACTGTATTACAAACATCTAATAATAATTATAATAATCTGTTTGTACATAATAATGTTAATTAAAACAAAACTTTCCATTGTATTAATTATTAATAATGAAGAATGAATTACTTTATTTATAAGTAACACGAAAATGATGTTGATTTGATTTGTTAGAAAGATTTAAATTATCGATACTTGACCGAACAGTTTAATAGGATCTGGACCTCGTGAACGGGTGCTTCGATAGAGTATAGGCTGACGATTATCTGACTTCACAGTGGTTACCAGTGCAGTTCAATAACCATGCTTCGGTCTCACTCCGTGTATTCAGCCAGATTGAATAATTACTCCTACGATCTTCAAAAATGACAATAGATTCAGTGGAATTGTAAGATATTGGCTACCCAATGAGCATAGATTGACGTATTTAACACTGACTATTAATAGGGTGGATAGTTAATCATCGAAATGAAGTGTGCATAAATGTAGATTTTTAATGAATACGAGAGCTGAAATTATCAAACCTGTATTTTAAATAGTTTAGGGTACACCAATCTTATTGCTTTTATTACTTTTCATAATACACTTGTCCAACATCAATTTTCACTATTTGGAAAATTACTAGAATTTTTCTGAATTTATGTGCTTAGGTTATCACATCGTTTCACACGATGCTTTCATTTACCGATGACTAACTACAACCACGTAAGTAAACGATTTTCTTAAACTCAAGCAACTGCCAATCTTTAGCAATCGGTAGGCAAACAAGTTGGCGCATGATTGATATTTTACGTTTGATTCACCTTTCACTATTTCACTAGCCTAACTAGAATGGCAAAGTAACTTTAAGAGCTATATTCTCAATGCGTTTTCTTCAAAAACAACTCTTAATATCTCATGAACACGTTCAAGGGTATTCTCAAGTTTACAATGACTTTTATTCTAATTCCACGGTACTGTTCAAACAATTTCTGATCTGTCTGGTAGTACTGCATTTTCTTCATAAATTGTACCTAAATAACGATATTATAAGTTGCTTCAGTAACATCACTGGTACTGATGAACTAAATTTATTGTCCAACGACTTTACTGACTACGTAATTACCCCTTAGAAAAGATATCGTAATAAGATAAAAAGAACGTCATCAGAAAATCTTTTAGTCAGAAGTTTCATTGAAATCATGAACCGATCAATGTCGCAATATCATTGATAACCTGGAAGCACTCGAAGAACGTTTCGTTTTAATATAGCACTCCTTAACACCGAACACTCATGAAATCGAAGTCTGTAATACAACACTAGTCATTCCATCTCCTCTGTGAATACTTAAACTCTAAACCACTATATCGGTATCCAACAGTTTTCTCATGTTTAACGTTAATCAATCCACCATATTGCATCACCATCCCACATAATCTTCAATGGATGACTGACTCACACTCGACATGGATTAGTTCCACTGGTCATGGATTCTCACTAGAACCCTATAACTTCTTCTCTCGAAACTAATTACTAGTGAGCACGTGAAAACTATCACTACTGGGTTATGGAGATCGATTAGAAGTTCTGTCTCCAAATGCATCTCCTAGTCACAGTAATGAACAACTAGATAAATTAAATGTAACAGATAAAATTCAATCTCTGTAAATGTAAAACAAATGAAAATTCTGATTAATCAACAAACAAATTCACCGTTTGAAAAGTCTAATTGAAATGTCTGACCATATATAAATTCACTCTACAACTCAAAATATCTTTTTCAAAAAAATTATAGATTTTAAGGAATGAAATCTAAACAAAATTTAGTTGAGTTTAACAGATTGTAAAAATTAGCTTTTGAACAGATAAATAGTTTTTTTGTCATGGATTCACGCAAGCTCGTGTTGGTTGGAAACTATGGAAAACCAGGAAACAGTGAACAGTAGTTTTCCTTTAGTTTAAAACTCTATATTAGTGAATAATTACTGCCTCATTAAAGATTGGATTCAAGATGTTTATATCTTGAGTTGAACAAGTTACCATCAAATATTAATAATAATAATAATAATAATAATAATTATTATTATTATTATTATATATATATATATATATATATATATATATATATATATATATATATATATATATATGAAAATACCTTATTGACAGACAAACAATTTAAAACAATTAGTCCCTTTGATAAATTTCGATAATGATATTAGAAGATGAAGATTATCAGAACTATGTGATATATTAGCGCAATACATTTCGAACAATCTGGTCACACATATACTTGTTAAGAGCATATATATATAAAAATAAAAGGTCAACTAGACAGGAAACGGGGTAAGAGGAGATAAGGATAATGATAAGAGTAATAATAATAATAATGTGAACACAATTTGAAACCTAATCACTCTGGATAATAAGTCAATATTACCAGGGTAGGTTTAAGGTAAGAACAAACTGTTTTTGAACACATAAAGGGGGTTTGAATTTTCGTATGGCTAAGGCTTCAATGAACCTTAGTATACGCCCTTTTACACTTTTATACAGCACTACAAAAGCTGAATTTAGATCAATCTTGTGACCTGTTTCAATTATATGTTTAGCAATAGAGGATGATGGATGTTTATCCTCTGTTCTTATCGGGTCAATTGATTGTATTTGTTTCTGAAGCCATTTAGGTACATGTTCACTCACCCTAATGTTGAGATCACGATTACTCCTCCCTATGTATGTGTGACCACACACACATTTAAATTGGTAAACACTGTGCTGTATAAAAGTGTAAAAGGGCGTATACTAAGGTTCATTGAAGCCTTAGCCATACGAAAATTCAAACCCCCTTTATGTGTTCAAAAACAGTTTGTTCTTACCTTAAACCTACCCTGGTAATATTGACTTATTATCCAGAGTGATTAGGTTTCAAATTGTGTTCACATTATTATTATTATTACTCTTATCATTATCCTTATCTCCTCTTACCCCGTTTCCTGTCTAGTTGACCTTTTATTTTTATATATAAATGCTCTTAACAAGTATATGTGTGACCAGATTGTTCGAAATGTATTGCGCTAATATATCACATAGTTCTGATAATCTTCGTCTTCTAATATCATTATCGAAAAGACAAACAATTGTCGATAATTTATTTCTTTTTATAAACACACACATGGGTCCTTCTGTTTAATCTTCCTAAGTAATGGTGTTTTTATGACTAAGATTTTATTTTATTAGTTGAGATCATGAGTCAATTGAATTTAGACCACTATGAAAAACCTGGAAGCACTGTACGGCCGTTTCTTCCTATTGTGCGACTCCTCAGTAGTGCGCATCCACGATACCTCCTCCCTCGCGAGATTCGAACCCATCACCTATCAGTCTCGCGCAAGGACGCTTAACCACTAGACCACTGAGCCGGTAGGCATCCAATGGTGTTAATGTCTAACTTCAACTAATCCACAAAATTGAGAGACACATCCACCATTGTCTTCCGTGGGTTATTATCTCACAACAGACCGAGTTGAACTCCACTGGTCTGGCTTCAATTGACTCATGATCTCAACTATTAAAATTACTAAAATATCTAAAAGAGCCCTTCTGAGATTAAGATTTAATTCAAACTGAACAAACAATATATATATATATATATATATATATATATATATATATATATATATATATATATATATATATATATATATATATATATTTCCAATGTACTCAATGTAAGTTCCTACTCATAGACACATATATTTTACTGAGAAAAAGACAAAGTAGATTATAATGAGATTTTCTATTCGTCAAAAATATTGTTGCATGTAGTTAGTTGTACGTGACATATAAATTGTGTCTATTAATGTTTAATGGTAGAATACAAATAATAATTAATTGACTAATTAATAAGATTAATATATAGTTGATTATACAAAAGTTATAATATAAAATGATAAAGGAGAATTTAATTAACTCAAATCTAATTGATTTTTAATACTTGAAACCAAGTGTAAATGGAAAAGTAATGTGAGTTTAAACATTTTACAATGAATACATATATACATTAAGGATGTATTAAATTGACTTATTATAATTCATTCTTTTATATTATATAATTAAATCAAATACTGAGATGATGAAGATTTGTTCTACGTAAAATTTGTACTGATGATATTATTCAAAAGAATGATGAAATCTCCACGACTAAATCATTTAGCTCAGAGAATAAAACTCCATCTAAATCAAATGTATATCCTTAATAAATTAAAAAATTTTATTATGACATAACATATAGATAATTTTTATTATATTATTAATATTATTTAAATTATTAACTCAAAGTATAACTATTCAAAATGAGAATAATTTGAGCATTAAATAAGAATCTTTCAACAATAATAATAATAATAATAAAAAGTTATGACTTATAGATTAGTTACTTTAAAGCTGTAAATTCATAATCATTGTACTACATGGACTGATAGATCATTCATACAAAAAATAAATCAATTAGATAATGTTAAAACAATTAGCCCCTTTGATAAATTTCGATAATGTAATTAGAAGACGAAGATTATCAGAACTATGTGATATATTAGCGCAATACTTTTCGAACAGTCTGATCACACATATATTTGTTAAAAGCATTTATATATAAAAATAAAAGGTCGACTAGACTGGAAACGGGGTAAGAGGAGATAAGGATAATGATGATAAGAGTAATAATAATAATTTGTAAATTTAAAACCCCCTTATATGTACAAAAATAATTTGTCGTAACCTTGAATTTACCTTGGTAATCCTTAAGTCATTCTATGGCCTAGGATAACGCGGCAATTTCTTATTCTTTCTCTCCCCTTAGTTATTTTAATTGAGCTTTTATTTGTTTGACCTTTAGTATTTTCATTAAAAAGAAGAATATATTTGTAAAATCTCAGCGAATGAATTTTTAAGTAAATCCAACGTTTCGCCTGGCAATCTGGTCCAAGCTTTTTCAAGGAAAAGCCAGTCTCACATTAACTCGGCACCCAAATATTGTGAAACTATTCGTTCAAATTTAGACGAAAGTTCTTATTTAGTATTTTCATATAAAAATGTCCTGACAAGTATATGTGTGACCAGATTGTTCGAAATGTATAGCGCAAATACATTACATTTTTCAGATCGACCCCGTCTTCTCATTGTTCTATTGAAATAATAAAATGAACACAATTCGAAACCTAATCACTCTGGATAATAAGTCAATATTACCAGGGTAGGTTTAAGGTAAGAACAAACTGTTTTTGAACATACAAAGGGGGTTTGAATTGTCGTATGGCTAAGGCTTCAATAAACCTAAGTAAACGCCATTTTACACTTTTATACAACACCATCATAAATGTTCTTAACAAGTATATATGTGATCAGATTGTTCGAAATGTATTGTGTTAATATATCACATAGTTCTGATAATCTTCGTCTTCTAATTAGATAATATTAGTTAACTAAAAACGAGTGAAGGTTTTGCATTATTTATGACTTAATCATCTATTATTCATTTACTGTTGTAAAGCTTTTGATAATGTATCATCTCATAACAACTACTGACTTAAATATTCACTATTCCTTTTTACGGTAATCTATAAGAATTTTTAAAACTGTATTTATACATACTGTACTTGTTCTCATATAGTGCTATCATTTTGTATTACTTTATTGTGTATTAGCGCGCAAATATATTTGGAGATTGTTGTACACTTTTATAATGGACAACTCGAATGCTCAATTTTGTGTATAGACTTGTACATGTGATTATTCCGTCCATAAATCCGTATAGAGATAAACTATATACAAATTTATAAATAAATAATATATTTGTAATATCCCAATGGGTAGAAAATTAGATTTTCTGACGCTTCGTGACTTAGTGTAAGTCACTTCTTCAGAGAATAAATAACCAAATTAAAATTAATCCAAGTTTAAATCGTACAACGGAAAAACGGAACATGACATTGATTTGTTCAGACCTGTTTTTGGATTGATCACATAATATTCTTATTGTTCCGTCGTACTATTTAAACTTGTATTAATTTTAATTTGGTTATTTATTTATACTCTGAAGAAGTGACTTACACTTAATCACGAAACGTCAGAAAATCTAATTTTTCTACTCATTGGGATATTAAAAATATATTATTTATTTATTTATAACAATCTACCCAATGCTCAATTTATTCGAAATTATCAAATCAAACCTTGGTAACGATACCTATCTAAATATACATTTTCTATTTATTGTAGAAATAATCCTAAAACATCATGTCAAAACGATGGTTAGGAATAAGCACTCACTTTTCTTCTAATTCTTATTTGTTCAATTTTAAAAAGTGAGTTATTTCTATTTTTAATCAAATAGCTTGATGAATTAGTGATTAAAAAATAATTTAATTCAATCATAGAATTTTGAGTAGAATGAAAAATTGAACTATGTACATTTCGGTTTATTTCAATCACAATTTATTGATCATTGAGAATGGAACAATTCCAAGTTTTGTCTACTGTTTTTAATACTGACCAAATTCCATCAAATTACAGTGTAACTAATTTGATTGATTAACAAACCAAACAACTCAGTCATAACATTTAAGACTGTGAAATTGAGTGATCCAAATTTGAATCAGATTAGCAGCTTAACTTACCTCATGTTAACAAGTACATTTTGTTAATGAGTGCTAGTTAGCACAAAATTTAGGTTTGGGATTTCCTGTTGGATACATTCAACCACTTAATAGGAAAGTTATTTCGTCGAAATTTTGAAAATTTTGGGTTTGAGGTACTTAACAGTTGTACATTATTGATTTCATTATGTATGACTAAAATCTATGACCGTTGCTGCTACTTTAACGAGGTTGTCAAGATTGCCTATCAAAACAAACCAATCGAGCTATACTGCCTGAAACGTTCGTTTTTCAAGGTCCTACTATGCCAGACAGGTCGGGTGAGGGGCGGTGGAACTAAAAACAGCAATCCCAAGGTTCGAGGACAGAAGTCGCACAATTAACTGCACAAAGTTGTGACGGAAGTAAGGTGTTTCCCTCAGATAACACGCATAACAGCGATGCTGCCTTCCCATAAGGAGGTTTAGGGTTGAAAAGATCGACTGTAAAAATACACATCTCGCCTTATCCCACGGATATCCGTATCCGGTGGTAAAGTCTCAACAAGTACGTAGTCAACACCAAATTTTCTCACAAAAAGGTCATATGTGACCGAACTAAAGAAGTTGTCCGTCGGGCACTGCGGTCACGCTCTCAGATCACTAAGACCACCCATAAACTAATTTCTTTTCCAGGCTCTTGTAGAAGAACCCTTCCATGGAGAGGGTGACAGGGAAGTGATAACCGCCCTCATAACTCTAACAGCACTCAAGACCACTTCATTCATAATCAATCTCCCTCTTCAATTCCTATTATTCCTCCGACCTCTAGTTTCAAAACCAAACTTCCTCTTTTGACATTCTCCTAGAGAGTCACCATGGCCAGTGATTATTGTGCGCGAACCGCTCCCAGGTCTACTGAAACCTCGCTCCAAATTACACATTGGAGCCTTCAATGTGCTCACCCTATGTCAAATTGGCCGGCACGTCTCCTTGACTAAAACCCTAGAATCTCGTACGATTGATATATGCTGTGTCTCCGAAACACATATGTAGAGAATCCTAATGTGGTCACTCACTTGACCTCATCTCTCCAAAACGGAAAGTCGATGAGTTACACACTCTGTGTTTCTGATGACCCGATGGGTAATTATCGTGTACTGAGAGATGTAGGCATAGCACTGAGTACGAGGGCAGAACAAGTACTATTGGAATGAATTCCCGTTAACAGACGCTTATGTGGTAAACGGTTAAACTGCTCGTTAGGAACTCGGAAAGATAACGAGACACGTCGTTGCCTGTCTGTCGTTTCTGCCTACGCTCACGCTGACTGCAGCCTGGATGAAGTGAAAGATGACTTTCACAGAAAGCTTTCTGAGTTTCTTCAGAAGGCTAAACACTCAGACATAGTACTCATAACGTGTGACTTTAATGCCCAGGTAGGTAGTTTAAACCGAACACAAAGATATTTAGGTGCGTATTTTGGTATTCCGGTTCAGTGAACAATCAGTGGTGTCCGTCTGCTGCAACTGTGCTCAGACAATCGTTCATTTCTGAAATCACCAATTTTAGGCAATGAGAAGAGACATTGTTTAACATGGAGACCCCCTGCATCAAACCAACGATGGACTCAAGTGGACCATATTACCATCAGTCATCGTTGGAGAGGGTCGATAGAAGACTGTCACTCGTTCTGGAAAACATGTCTAGACTCTGACTATGCTCTAATACGAGCACACGTTCGGTGACACCTCTCTGGACACAGGTAAACAACATTAAGAAATCGCATTGGAGTCAAACTCATTGACGAGAAAGCGAAAAGTATATTCCAGGAACGACTGAGGTCACACTTAGGTAGTTCTGAAAACGAAGCTGACCCAGATGTTGCTTGGAGAGAAGTACGAACAGTTGTGGAAACAGCAGCGATATCTATCAGTGATATGAATTGAAGGGTCACGAAAAACCAGTGGATTTCTACTAAGTCTCTTGCACTGGTAAATTCTCATACAGAGAATTATTACAAACATTTTCCATTATTGCTTAATAATTAAATGTTTTGTATTGTTGTTACGTTTGAACACGTTTTAATACAGGATGACGGTGTTTCAGGTTTGATATAAGAAATAAATACTCAACAGTTTGAGAGTGTGAGTAATGATGAGCAAAGAAAGCGAAATAGATGGGAATTTCAGCAAATATAGTTAACACCAGACAGCGTTTTATACTAATAAAAGAAACTGGAATTAATAGGTCAAGTGTGAGATGATCTTGGAAAATGACGACACTATTTAGAATGATGGGCGGAACACTTTAAGGAGTAGTTCAGCTGGCCTTCAGCCATTCTACAACTACCCACTGTTCCCAAACAGCCTGAATGAAACATTAAAGGAGTCCCCACAACTCTAACTGAAGTTAAAAATGCTACAGATACGATAATCTGAAACGAGGAAGAGTAGCGGGTCCATTATGTATGTTGGTTCAGTTTTAGCGATAAAGTTGACCAATATTTTATCTAGAATCTGGTGATTAGATACAATACCATCTGACTAGTCGCGATCACTGATTGTCCTAATATATAAGAATGGGTTAAAATCATCATGTGATAACCATAGACGGATTAGTTTGACCGATATAGCTTCTATAATACTAGCCTCAATAATTGTCGGACGCCAAACAAAATCTCGTGAAATGACAACACGAGAAAATCAGGCTGTATTCAGAACTTGTCGTGGCTCTATCGAAGATTTTAGAACGTGGTCATGTTTGTCGGCGTCCGACAATGATAATTTTTCTTGACATAAAACCAGCATTTGACTCTATTGACTGAGAGGTTCTGTGGCAGTGTCTGTCATTGGAAGGCGTACATCAGAAGTACATAAACCTTGTGACGGCTCTTTAATCGAACACCACTTGTCGAGTCAGAGCTTTTGGCGAACTGTTATCTAATTTTGCAACCTGAAGTGGTGTCCGGCAAAGTTGTCCACTATCTCCATATTTGTTCAGCTTCATTATAGACATACTGATGAAAATAACAATTGCGTCATTTGAATTTTCGGGCATTGATCTCTTACCAGGAGGTGGACTTATCGACTTATAATACGCAGATGATATATTCTCGTCTGGTGAAAATGCTGAATAAATGCAATCTTTTGAAAACATTGGGCAACAATTTCAGGATGCTTGGGAAGCAAGTTGTTGTTTCAGGACTGGCCTACATCAACACTTGAACTAAGGATAGGAAGTGAAGTAGTCGAACGCGTTGACAACTTCACTTATATTGGAAGTTCGATCAGACGTAGTGGGTTGGTGTCTGATGAAATGTGTGCACGACTCAGAAAGCTCGTTTGGATTTTGCGAACTTACGTCACGTTTGGCGAAGGGAGATATCCGTCTATCAATTAAGGGACGAGTATACTGTGCGGCAGTTCGTTCTGTTCTAACTTACGTCTGAGAAATGTGACCATTAGGAGTAGAAGATACTCGTAATTTGCCTGTGTTTGATGATAGATGTCTTATAAATGTTGTTTGCATCTGCTGGTATCACTGGGTAAGTAATAGTGAGGTTAGATGAAGGATATTCGGAAATGATGATAAATCAGTCGATGAGGTTGTGACTGTTCATCGATCGAGATGGTTGGGCCGGGTGTTACGTATGCTTAACCACCGTTTACTACGATGCGCAATGCTAACTACTGTTGGAGACACACACATCTATCGTAAATGGTTGCTTAAGCATCTTAGTATACTTTATGTAAATTTTGATTCACTCACTATAGTATATGAGATTCTACATTCTAAGGGGCATAAATAATGGATCACCCAAAACTTAGAGGATATGAATATGTTTAATTGAATCGGATCCGTACTACAAAACCTAATGTTAATCGCACAAAATCATGCACTTGAAAAAAAATAAAAGGTCTTACATGTACGTTCGACACGTATTAAGTTGTATACTTGAATTTACTAATGTTAATTTTTAGTTTAATAATAACAATATACAATAAAAAAACAAATTAATCTATAGGCCTAAATACAGGATAAGTAGAATAATTGTATTGAAAAACTAATTTATCTGTTTATTGACTCATTAAAATTGCACTTAGACAAATTCCATCGAAATCGATAATGCAAACAATACCATTTTGAGTCGTCACAACAAAAACACCATATATATATATATATATATATATATATATATATCATGTTACACCCTTTTTTAAATTTTATTCATATTATGAATCAAACACGTTATTTCAGGAAAGATGTAAGTGATAATAAAGTCATTTACTCGTAAAGTAATTCAAAAGAATTGATAGTAATTTTAGGGTTCTAGTGAGAATCCATGACCAGTGGAACTAATCCATGTCGAGTGTGAGTCAGTCATCCATTGAAGATTATGTGGGATGGTGATGCAATATGGTGGATTGATTAACGTTAAACATGAGAAAACTGTTGGATACCGATATAGTGGTTTAGAGTTTAAGTATTCACAGAGGAGATGGAATGATTAGTGTTGTATTACAGAGTTCGATTTCATGAGTGTTCGGTGTTAAGGAGTGCTATATTAAAACGAAACGTTCTTCGAGTGCTTCCAGGTTATCAATGATATTGCGACATTGATCGGCTCATGATTTCAATCGATCAATTTCATTTTAAATACTTTTTAACTACTGTTACAATTTCATTTCACTGTGTGATTTATTAATCACTAATAAAATGCCTATTTCT